CCTTTTCCCTCTTCGTCTCCCTCTTCCTCTCTTCTCTCTCTCTTTCTCTCTACCCCTCTTTCTCTTGCTCCCTCTCCTCTCTCTCTCTGTCTCTCTCTCTCTCTCTCTCTCTCTCTCTCTTGCTCTTTCCTTCTCCCTCTGTCTCTGTCTCTGTGTATCTTCTTTCTTTTTTTAAAGTAAAAGGGTAATAGATGGTAGATCAATAACAAAGTTTCAGATTTGCAAGCATCATGAGACCATGAGTTTGATACCTGGAGCCCCCGCTAAGCAAATACTTTACAAGCAATTCCTTCTGGAACCAATGGCACCACATTAGAATATGTTAACTCCTACAAACATGTACATAGGACCACCACAACTAAAGTGAGTATAGCTAAGTACTAGGACTATGCGAACACCACAACTTATGTGTATGTGTATGTAGCTTCTGGTCACTGCACAACAATAGTAAAGAAAAGAGGAGAAATATCAGACACGTTTCAACAATGGTAAAAGGAATTATGCTATACTTTTTTCATAAAGTAGGTAGGTTTATTTAGGGAATAAGATAAGGTAAGTATGTGTGTTTGTTTGAGAAAAACTGAAAAAGTAAAGGAAGAGAAATCACACATCCTGTGAGCTGAGACAAAGTGTGTTTAAAATGCATATATCTGGTCCCCTGAGCAACACCAGTGGTTCTACACCATTGAGTGCAGAACCAGGAGTCAGTCCAAGGCATCTCTGGGTATGGCCCCCAAACAAATAAAATAAAATAAAAATAAAAAATAAATGGGCAACTCATTTTAAATGTATAATTTATTGATGGTAATCTAACAGTTTTGCAATAGAATATTTTGAAGCAAAAATTCAATAAATAAAGTATTAAATATTACTAATCATATAATTAAATAATAAACATTTATACTTAGTAAATTAACTTGCTGGTGCAAAGCAAAAACACTGAAGTTATATAGAACACAATGAATTAAACTTATTACCCCATCCCTTTCTTTCCACTAAAAGATTATTAATATACATTATATTAGCACAGCGGGTAGGGAATATGCCTTGGCCATGTCGACCCAGATTCGATTCCTCTGTCCCTCTCAGAGAGCCCAGCAAGCTACCAAGAGTATCTTGCCCACATGGCAGAGCCTGGCAAGCTCCCTGTGGTGTATGGGATATGACAAAAACAGTAACAACAAGTCTCACAATGGAGATGTTACTGGTACCTGCTCGAGCAAATTGATGAAGATCTGGAGGACAGTGCTAGAGTGGTATATTATGGATTATAGAGTCACATAATATATACCTATTATATTAGCACTATGTAAAATTTCTAATTTCTAGGAATGGGGTTGATTTTATCTGAAAAGAGATGATGTAGAAAACACTACAGCAATTTCAATTAAAAAAATTAGATAATGGGACTGCCAGAAGTTAAAGCCAACTGCAGAGCCAGGAGTATCTATCTCCTGAGCATTGCTGGATATGGCCCCCAAATAAAATAATAATTAGCTAATGGGCCTGAAAGGCAGCACAACGGATAAGGTATTTGCTTTGCATGTGGGTGACTTAGGTATAATCCCTGTCACTGCATATGGTTCCCTGAGCATTATTAGAAATGAATCTGAACACAGAGCCAGAAATAAGCCCTTAGGACCACAGGGGCAGCCCAAACGAAAAGAAACAAAATCATTTCCAAATATTAGCTAATAAAATGTGTTGACAAGCACATTAATTGAATACATGACTAAAATAGAATAATAATGTTATAACTTCAAGTTTTCCTGTCTCAAATAAAGTCTTTATTCTCTTGTTTAATAGCATACTATGAGAGCTTGCAACTCTTTATTGTATTTAGTTCTCTCAAACTGTATAGAAATCCAGTAATTTTAATGAATATAAAAACTAATATATAAAAGCAAAATATCAAATAGATATTTTGTTATCAAACACGCCTTGCATGATATATAATAATTGCCTTGTAGAGTATGTAGTAGAGAGTATTTGCATGCTTGTTTGGGCAAGATACATTGGTTATAATGGAACAGGGTGGAATATTTGTACACTCAACCCCAAATATACGAACATCTAATCTTTGATAAGGGAGCAAGAAATGTGAAGTGGAACAAGGAAAGCCTCTTCAACAAATGGTGCTGGCATAACTGGACTACCACATGCAAAAAAAATGGGCTTAGTCCTCGACCTAACACCATGCACAAAAGTCAGATCAAAATGGATTAAAGATCTTAACATCAGGCCAAAATCAATAAGGTACACAGAAGACAGGGTCGGCAAAACTCTCCCTGATATTGAGGCTAATGGTATCTTCAAAGATGATACTCCACTGAACAAACAAGTGGAAAGAGAGATAAATAAATGGGACTATCTTAAATTAAGAAGCTTCTGCACCTCAAAAGATACAGTCACCAGAATACAAAGACAATCTACAAAATCGGAAAGTATATTTACCCAATACCCATCTGATAAAGGGTTGATATCAAGGATATACAAAGCACTGGTTGAACTCTACAAGAAGAAAACATCTAACCCCATCAAAAAAGGGGTGATGAAATGAACAGAAACTTTCCCAAAGAAGAAATACGAATGGCTAAAAGGCACATGAGAAAATGCTCTACATCTCTAATCAGGGAAATGCAGATCAAAACAATAATGAGATATCATCTCACACCTAAAAGACTGGCCCACATCCAAAAGAACAAAGCAACCGGTGTTGACATGTATGTGGTGAGAAAGGGACTCTACTTCACTGTTGGTGGGAATGCCGACTGGTTTAACCCTTCTGGAAAACAGTATGGATGATTCTCAAAAAATTAGAAATTGAGCTCCCATTTGACCCAGCAATACCACTCCTGGGAATATATCCCGGAGAGAAAAGAAATTATATTCGAAATGACATCTGCACTTCTATGTTCATTGTTGCACTATTCACAATAGCCAAAATCTGGAAAAAACCGGAGTGCCCTAGAACAGATGACTGGTTAAAGAAACTTTGTTACATCTACACAATGCAGTATCATGCAGCTGTTAGAAAAGATGAAGCCATGAAATTTACATACAAGTAGTACTACATGGAAAGTATCATGCTAAGTGAAATGAGTCAGAAAGAAAGGGCAAACATAGAAAGATTACATGCATCTGGGGAATACAAAGTAACAAAAAGGGAGACTAACACCCAAAAATAGCCTAGATAAGTACTAGGAGTTTCACTCCATGGCTTGGAGGCCAGCCGCACATGCTGGGGGCGAAGGCAGCTCAGATAGAGAAGGGAGCACCAAGTAAAGGGTGTTGGGAGGATCCTCCCAAGATGAGAGATACATGCTGAAAGTAGACTATAGACCAAACATGACTGCCACTCAATGCCTATTTTGCAAACCACAGAACCCAAAAGGAGAGAGAAAACAAAAGAGAATGCCCAGACACAGGGGTGGGGTGGGATGGGGGGGGGAGTGAGTGGGATGCTGGGAGTATTGGAGGTGGGGAATGGGCACTGGTGGAGGGATGGGTATTCAATCATTGTATAACTGAAACCCAAGCACAAAGATTTGTACAACTGTACCTCATGGTGTTTCACTAATAAAAATTTTTAAAAAAAAGATACACTGGTAATAAAGGAAACAACAGTGGAATAAAGCAGACAGAGTCAGGAGTTAGCCCTTAGCATGGCATGCTCATAAACTCTCCTCTCTCTCTCTTTTTTGTCCTTTCCCTCTCTCATACATACATTATATATAATGTGAGATATATTATTATATAAAGTGTGTATTTCTGTCTATATATATATGAGCGATGGAAGAGAGAAAGAGAGAGAAAATGGGGAATATTTTTCAAACCTCCTTAGCTTATCCTCTTCTGTATTGCTGCTTTACCCAGTTCTAAATCCTAGAAGGATATCAGTTTTGGTGAGGTGACATTTATTTTGAAGAGGAATGAAATTGTAACTCTAAAGCATATGTAGTCACATAAGCTAATGTTATTTCAACTAAGACAAATAAATCATTTTTAAGTGGGTGTAGTTTGAAATAGCATACAGGAAGTGGAGGGCTTTGGAGATATTGAAATCTCTTATTTAGTCACTGGGCCCAGTCAAGAAAGCAACTATAACGAAAAAGTCTTACTTTGTTCAAATAATGAGCATAAAACCTGAGCTAAATTCTAATATTTGATTCTTAGGTTACACAACATAAAGATCAAAGAATGCCCAGTCATAAGAGTTTTGTGGAATCTTACTTCTGGCCTGGATCCAGCTTTTTCCAAAACTAGGTTATACGTTGCTCCTTCAATTTTCTAGGGTGCCTCACTAATTATTAACATATACCCTAACATTCTCACATTTGCTTATACAAGCTATAAGTGGTTGATAATGTTTCCTAAGAAAGTTAAAACATTTCATGTATTCAAGAATGACAATAGTCACCATAGTGACATCATTGGTCAAAACATCAAAATAACCAGTGCAATTTGTTCCCTGGTTTCAACAAGAACCTCAGTTCTGGGAGAGATCCTTAAACTGAATGACTTCACCCTTGCAGGTTTTAAATATAACCAAGGATATGTAACTTATATTTGGAAAATTATTTCAAAGCTATGATCCAATTATAAAAGTATTTATAATTTTCTGTGCAATGGCAGCCTGCTTTAAGTACAAGCTAAAATCGAAATAAATGGTCTGTGTTGACTCTTTGTTTCGGAGTTGCATCATCCAAACTTGGGCTATGTAACTCTTAAACTTTATTTATGGAACTCTCTTTCTCTTTCCACTCAAATTTTCTAAATTAAAGGATTTACCTTATTTGTCTATTGTGTCCATTATGGGGCATATAAGAAAATTAATTTCAACAAAAACATACAAATTCCACAAACATAAACAAGAATATAGCCACTATCATGGCTTAATGAAGTGAAAAACAATGGTGACTGCTGATAAAAGCACAGTAAAGTGAAGTTGTCAGTACTTGATAAAAATAATAATAACCTGTACATTAAAAAAATCCTACCTCTGCTTATCACCAAACTTATTATGTCCAGAGGGTACTGCTCAGTCTTCAGAAAATAGAAGAGATTCAGGCAAGCACTGAAAAGATACAGGAGAAATCCACAGGGGTGAAAAGATGAAAAAGAGAACCTAGAAGAGAACAGTGAAATAATAGGCCTGTTAAACTTGAGGACTGGAGAGATACAGAGATACAAAGCAGCTTAGAAAGGTAGTACTTCAAAGATTTTAGACGTGATAGATTTGCTATACTTGCAAATATAAAGAAATGATAACCTCAAAATCAAGATATGTTATATGTGCCCTTACATCTTGGCATTTGAAAGCATGGCAATTCTTAGTTTTCAGAGAGGCTGTCTGTGTTCTCATTTTTAAGGGACCCAACAAATGGCTGCATCTTGTGGATTTTTTGTAATGCTATATTAAGTGATGGGTCATTCCCTAGGATATGTGTAAAAAGGTGAAGAATACAAATTCTGAGGTCAATGAGAAAATTTTACTTAGCAGGTTTTATCCCAGACTGAATTTCATAAGTGTGTCATGCGACAGACGTTGATACAAAGGACTACTGTAAATTATTATCCAACTTGAGATTTGAGTTTTAAGAGGGCTGTTAATTACATTAGAATGATAAACAGGCCATATATATTAAATAAGATAAAGGAAAAAAACTATACATATGCATGTGAATATACAATAATAGTATGGATAGTATTTTTATTAGCTGAATATAAACAGGGTCGATGCCAAAATACATTGCCAGGACAGATGAGATAGAGGAATTTCTTCTCTTTTAGTCACCTCTTCTGCATCCCAGCTTAACTTGTAAAAATATGATAAACATGTACTTAAGACTATTTCTTTAAAAGAATATTAAAATTATTAGCTGAATTAATAATTTCAAACACATAGGAATACAAAGAACAGGTTCTAAAAGGGCAAGAAATGTTTTCTCGAAATATCCTACCAGCACACTTTAGTATTGCTTCTCTTCACAAAGAGTTCTCATTTAAAATCCTTCTTAACTTTGTCCTTGTAATGATTTTGTCCTGCTCTTGTTTCTTTACAGTTCCTAAATCCTGAAATTACTGAAGATAGAGATTCACAGTTGAACCAAGCAAGGCAGAGCCTCCTGGAGTCCGTATAACATTTATCAAAGAAAACATCTGATACGTAACTAGTTTCAACAGTCAGTGAGCTGGGGTAGACCCGAGAAGCAGGGGGCTGAATCATCCAATTTGATTACATTCCGTTGCTAGTACCAGTTCACTTCCAAACCACAGCTGGAGTTGTTCTTTCTATATTTAACCAGAAACAAAGAAATCTATGTGCAGACATGTAATTCGCCCCACATACAGAGGCCTGAAAGGTCACTGTGACAACAAAAGAAATCTCCGAGATGAAGGTTTAAAACTGCTTGGCTCTAAAGCAAGGAAAGGACGAGCTCTCAGTAAAGGATCAAGATTTGATGAGATTTGCTTTTCTCATCTCTCCCCTGTGAAGAGCTGGGCAAATTAATAATCATGGGAGGGCTCCTGATAGTTCCGTTCAAGCATCAAGCAAACAGACCTGCCACTGAAGAAAGCACGTGGTAAGGAGTCCTCATATACCTGAAGCGTTCAATTTCGCTAACCGTCTGTAGAAATCCATGTCAGCAACGGCACAGGTCAGGTTGCTGGCTGTGCCCTCATTTGGTAACAGCTCCAGGCAATTTTACCATCCAGCTGTTCTGTTTTTCAAAACTAAAGTAACTGAAATTGAACTACAGGGCTTTGCTAAAGCCCTAGCAATTAACAGTGCCATTTCCCAAATTGCACTGTAATGGGAAAGTGTCCATCAATCAACCCAGTGAAATAACACATTTTCTTACCAGATTGTGAGATTTAATATCTTCATAACTCTTTGAATCTAACACTTATGAATTGTCAGCCATGCCCTGAGCTCCGAGAATTAATGGACTACATCACTGCTCTGCAAGGATGGTTTACAGTTGTAAAATATCCCTGTCCTACTTTAGATATATTTACTAAAATGTTCTTTTTAGAGATGCAATCACAGAGCATGTGTAATTGGAAAGTGCCATTACTATTCACTATAATATACTCTATCATTGTCTAGATAAATGCAATCCTCAGGGTCTCAGCAAAGGCATACTCCTAACAAGAGTAACCAGTTTTTTATCTGTATATTTTTTAATTTTTTTGAATCACCATGAGATAGTTACAAGCTTTCATGTTATTGCAGGATGTGGACAATAAATTTTTGAGAAGAGAGGCAATGGCTTTAAGTTTCAAACTTTAAGATATCTGCTATGCTTCTATATATTTTTGATTTTTTAAAAAAAATTTTTATTAGTGAAACACCATGAGATACAGTTGTTGACCTTAAAAGGTTTTGTGCTTGGGTTTCAGTTACACAATGATCCCTCCACCAGTGCCCATTCTCCACCCCCAATGATCCCAGTATCCCTCCTACCCCTCCCTTCCCCCCATCCCACCCTGCCTCTGTGGCAGGGCATTCCCTTTTGTTCTCTCTCTCCTCTTTGGTGCTGTGGTTTGCAAAAGAGTCACTGAGTGGCAATCATGTTTGGTCTATAGTCTACTTTCAGCATGCTTCTCCCATCCTGGGAGGATCCTCCCAACACCCTTTACTTGGTGCTCCCTTCTCTGTCTGAGCTGCTCTTTCCCCTAGCATGTGCTGCTCTTCTTCAAGCCATGGAGTGAACCTCCTGGTACTTTTCTCGACTATTTTTGGATATTAGTCTCCTATTTTGTTACTTTATATTTTCCAGAGGAATGCAATCTTCTTATGTCTGTCCCTCTCTTTCTGACTCATTTCACTTAGCATGATACTTTCCATGTAGTACCACTTGTATGTAAATTTTTGAAAAATGCCAAAATTATTCCAAATTTCTAATTCCATATGCATATACACAGCCTACTTTCATCCTGGATTAGAAAGAGAATTCAAAGAATTCACATGTGTTTGTCTTGTTACTGTGGTTATTAGTAGTTCAGTTCTTATTTCAGTTCTCACTTCAGTATGTAATGATCTGAGCCATGGCCAGGATGAGTCAGCCACCTGAAAACAATCCAGAAAGAATCTTATCCTGCCACAGTCTCTGAATTTCTAGCTTCGGATATTCGGATATTTCTCCATTCCTGAAGGAGAAATAATTTAATGCTGAGGTTACAACACAGGTCTTACATGGACTGAATTCATTTCACAAATTCTTTTACTATATTGTTCCAGAGCCTGTACAGGACCAAATGCAGAAGCCAAAGGGCAAGGGAGTGAACCAGAAGAGGGCAGATAATTTTTGGTGGGGCACGTATGTTGGCAGAGAAGTTTCCCCAAATGAGACAAGTCTGATAGCCTTTACATCACTAAGGAAAAAAGACTGTAAACCATTAGAGTAACTCAGATTATATGCTGTTTCAGAAAAATAGATAACTTTCTACTTGTGCTGTAATATATGGGTAGGGTACATGACTTGCATGCAGTCAACCAACATTTGATTCTGGCACCCCATATAATCTCCAAGACTGACAGAAGTGATCCCTAAGTTCAGAGTCATCATTAAGTCCTTAGAATAACTGAGTGTGACCAAAATAACAAAAATAAATGAAAGCTAAAAATAACATTCACAGAACTCTAGCATTTTAAGGAAAGATAGAGACCTTCAAAATATTTCTTAATTGCATAGATTCATTAAATGCTCCAATGAAAATTGTTTGTCATATGACTCTATTAGATAATTCAAATTACTTCATACATTAGTAATCTATCTTTTTTTCACAACCAAAAAATATACTTCTCCTTAACCATTTAAGTTGGCTTTAAAAATTAGCAATTATTTTTCTGTGAGAAGGAAAAATAAAGGCTGCCAGGAAATCACCCAGTATAAATAATAAAGAAATTTCATATATGTTTGATTTATCCTACCAGGACAAAAATCACAAAGCAATGATTATATATTGAGATGTATTTCAAAGCCCATAAAAGGAGAATGATGAAAGACACTGATATTCAAAAAGAATCAATTCAAATGATCATAAAATACCAACAATAGAGCAATAAACTACTATTTATTAAGAGCATTGAATCAATGTGATATCAATCACAAAAAAAAAAACCTTAGAATAAGTTCTTATGCCACACAGAATATTAATTCTAGGTGAATCAGAATTAAATATTTTATTAAAAACTAGAGAACAAAGAAGAGTTCCTCTGCTGTGGGGAAGAGATAAATTTCTCATGAAAAAAAATGGGATATGTTAGGATCTCATCAAAGGAAAGATGAACAGATAAGAAAACTAAAGCATCTGAACTATAGTATGAAAAAAGAAACACAATGAGATGATAATATACATATGTATATATGTGTATCCTGCCCCTGCGCCTGGCTGTTCCTCGCCGGGGTCCCTTGGAGGGGAGCGGGTTGAGCTTTCCTCCCCGCCCTGACCAGGGCTCCAGCAGCCGAAGACCTCCAGGACCAGCCACCACCATGCTGAGACCACTCTCCGCACACATAAAGGTACTGGCAGAGGGACAAAGTCACGTGGGTTCCGGGGCTGAGATCTCCAAGCCTACTCGGATTTGGGCCGAGCATCCTCCACCCAGATCCTCCAAATTCCAGTAGGCGGGGATCACACCCACCACCTGGCCCCCTGGCGCCGTGTAATCCCATCAACGGCCAAGACTCAGAGACTATAAAATCCAGCTCCGGGAACCGCACGGTCGCATTCGCTGAGTAATACCTTAGAATAAGTTCTTATGCCACACAGAATATTAATTCTAGGTGAATCAGAGTTAAATATTTTATTAAAAACTAGAGAACAAAGAAGAGTTCCTCTGCTGTGGGGAAGAGATAAATTTCTCATGAAAAAAATGGGATATGTTAGGATCTCATCAAAGGAAAGATGAACAGATAAGAAAACTAAAGCATCTGAACTATAGTATGAAAAAAGAAACACAATGAGATGATAATATATATATATATATATATGTATATATGTGTATCCTGCCCCTGCGCCTGGCGGCCGCGCGACATCTTATCAGGACATCTTTTTATGACATCTCATTATCTCATTCCTACTTTGGACAAACTTGCAGGCTATCGAATGTAGCCT